TCTCTCTCTTATCTTTCCAAGCCCCTCCCTTCACATCTTTCTAATCACCTGGCTCATCACCTGCATTGGCCTGTAATTTATTTTATTAGTTTCTTAATTTATTTCAGTTGTATTTTATATTCTGGAAACTCTGTCCCGTGGATCAGGTTCCCAAAGTATAAAAATAATTGCTCCAGTTTTAATTCCATCATGATCAAAAATCAAATGCCCTTTCGACTAAATGGTGACTTTTCCCCTCTAGCTATGTTCTGAATGCTTTGTCTCTGCCCAGAATTATATGTTGAAACCATCTCCCCTGAGGTGATGATCTTAGGAGGTAGGGCCTTGGGAGGTGATCACCTCAGGAGGATGGAGCCTTCAGGAATAGGATCAGTGCCTGCTAAGGGTTAGATGGGAGGTGTTCCCCAAAACCTCGTGTGTGAGGCAGGTGCGAGAATGTTCAGAGGTGAAGTGATTAGATTAGGGGAGTTGTGAACTAATCTGTGGATTGATCCACTGATACAGATTAGCTGGGTGGTAACAAGAGGCAGGCAGGATATGATTGCTTTAGGGTTGACATTTTGTCCTGGGTGAGTGGAGGACTCTCTTTGCTTCCTGGATGCCATGCCCTCAGCTGCTTTCCCCCTCCACCCCCTTCTGCCATGATGTTCTGCCTCACCTTAGAACTATGGAGGCCACCAAGCCCGGACTGAACCTCTGAAACATGAGCCAAAATAAACTTCCTCCTCTAAGATTTTTATTTTTAAATATTTAGTTTTTAGTTGTAGTTGGACGGAAGACCTTTATTTCACTTATTTATTTTTATGTGGTGCTGAGGATAGAACCCAGGGTCTCACATGAGCAAGGCGAGCGCTCTACCGCTGAGTCACAATCCCAGCCCCTCTGAGATTTTTCTTGTCAGATATTTTAGTCACAGCCATGCTAAGCTGATCAAAATAGTGCCCTTAAAAAAGAGAACCCAGAAAACTTCCTCATCCCTTTCCCTAGATGAGGAGACATCAAAAAAGGTCGTCATCTGTGAAAAAGTAGGCCCTCAACCAACACAAAATCTGCCAGAGCCTTGATCAAAGTCAAGCCTTTCTAGCTTCCAGAACTGTGAGAAATAAGTTTCCTTGGTTGTAAGTCAACTATCTATGGTAATTTATTATTAGCAACCCAAATGGAATAAGATGCCTGGTATAATTGAGATCAGTGTTTCCCAGATGCCCATTAACTCAGATCCTCAGTCATGGCAGTATTGGGAACTGATGAAACCTTTAAGAGATTGGACCTAGCTGGAAGTCCTCTGGTCACAAGGGAGTATGCCCTTAAAGGCGATGTGCATAGTCAGCCCTTTGCTATCTCTCATGTCCTAGCCATAAGATGAGTGGTTTACTCTACCACATGTTGCTTCACCACAGGCCCCAAAGCAACTGGACCAATCCATCTTGGACTGAATCTTGTGATACCATGAGCCAAAATAAACCTTTCTTCTTTTTTAAATGGGTTATCTCATTTATTTGATTATAGTATTAGTAATCAGACTAAAACCACACCTGGGCTACTCCTAATTCAGATACTGCTTGTCCAGCTTCACCTGCAGTGTAATCCCGGGAGCAGGGCCTAGACAGATGTTTGAAGGGCTACGGCACAAGCAACAATGCCATCACCGTAACAGCAATATGAAAAGTATTCACCATGAAAAGGAAAATACAATTTCTTTGGTGAAAAGAACAACGAGGGAAAAAAAATAGGAAATTGAATATTTAGGTGTAAGTGAGATGAAAAGAAACATAAGTTTAGTAAGAATCAAATAAACAAAGCAAGAAGTAGTTGGCGTAATTCAGATTATGGGGTTTAAACTAAGCTAATCAGGTTTAAATCTCTAGATATTAATCTTAAAGCTTTAGCCATTTCTTCTAAGCACTGTTAAGGTCTGAATTGTGTTCTCCCCAAATTCAACTGTTGAAACCCCAAGACCCAGGACTTCAAATGGTAATTGTATTTGGAAATAGGGAGTTAATTAAGCTAAAATGAGGCTATAGGGATGGGCACTACTCCAATATGACAGGCGTCTTTACAAGGAAAAAAGATTAGGACCCAGACGCTCAGAGGGGCAGCAATGTGGAACACATAGGAAAAGGCATCATCTGCAAGCCCAGGAGAGAGGCCTCAGGAAAACCAGCCCTATGGACACCTTGATGTTGGAATTCCAGCCTCCAGGTCCCCCAGAAGGAATCTCAGCCATGTAAACTGTATAGTCTGTGGTACTTTGTTATGACAGGTCTGGCAAACCAAACCAAAACAAGCACAGTGTCCCAAATAGTAAATATTTAGCAATATTTATATTAACACACCATTCACACTCAGATTCCATCAGTCAACATTCATGCAATTTTTGGTGTCATGAACAATATCGTGGGTTTGGGAGAGGCTGTTTTTTTTGTTTTTTGTTTTTTTCTTTTTTTCCTAAGACTCTCACAAAAATTCTTGACAACCATTTTATCCAGAACCTGCCAGCTCAGAAAGAGCACATTTCCTATTATAATTTAAATACTACATTTTAGCCTTTAAAATCCATGGGGAAGTAGAAAAATTTCTCAAGTATTGAAACCATACCCCTCCCTGCAAACAACCCTTCCCTTGGCTTTCCTCACCCCAAGAAGTGAGAACCAACTCCATCAGCTTCTCTGTGGCAAGCTCTCAGACACCAGAGGCCACTTCTGTGTCTTGGGACTCGTGTTTGTTTGTTTCTACAAGTGATTTTACTCTCTTCCTTTCCTTCTCCAAATGACCTGGGCTCAGGAAAACACATTTCCTGTGTCTCCTCCCTATGTCATCTCTACTTTATGCAATTTCTCTTTACAGATTGGTGTCTGAATGCTAGGTAGGGTTTGTCTGAGACATATGAAAACCCAGTTTCAGTTCTCCTAGCATCTGCTCCAGAAAGACTGACATCCTGGGTCACATCAGCTCTGGGGACAAGCACACAGTGGCCTGGGGAAGGCTGAAATGTTTCTCACCACATCATTGGTGCAGAGTTCTTTCCCAGCCTTATTGCATGTACTGCTTGTCCAGAACAAGAAGCAAGATATCCCATTTATTATAATCCTCCTTAGCAGATTCAGTATTTTCATTATAGGCCAAATATTTTTTTGGTCCCAAATATTTTTGGTCCATGATAGCTTTAGTTTCCTCATCTGTAAAGGTGGGACATGGTCATTTCCTGTCCTCCAAGGGCTGCTCAGGAGGTTCTATTGAGCTACCTAAGTACAGGATTTAGAATGAAGCCCACACCTATTTGGTTCTTGCTGTACGACTACTGTGGAGGTTATTGGTTTATACAGGTTGGGATAAAACTCTTGTCACAACAAGAGTCCTTCCTCTGGCCAACACTGCCAGGCAGATCTCCATCCCTTCCCCAACAGCCCTCACGCAGCAACTCCTGGCAGGATTTGTTTTTTGTTCAGTGCTGGGAATTGAATCTTGGTCTCACACTTGCTAAGCAAGTGCTCTACCTCTAAGCTGCATCCCTATCCTTTAAAAAGTTATTATTGTTTTGCTTTTGAGACAGGGTCTTGCTAAGTTGCTCATGCTGGCTTTGATCTTGCAATTCTCCTGCCTCAACCTCCCAAGTAGGTGGGATTACAGGTGTGCTCCATGACACCCAGCTCAGAATGGTTTTGTGTCTTATTCTTCTGGAAGCCTCCCTCTCATCTAAGGATGCTCCCTGCACCTGTCCTAGTGAGTGAGCCCCTGTTGGCTCTCTGACAGAGTTCTCAAAACTCTAGTTCCTTACCAGCTTTCTAATGGACCAAATATCTCAGCCCCCCCCCCAAAAAAATTAATTTCTACTAAAATTAAACTTGACAAAAGAGATTTTTGACACACTATATGAGGGATCACCGCTGTGCTCTACTTTCAATAAAATGGAAGAACACATCCACACGAGTACAAAAGAGCACTCACATTCAAAAGAGCTGAAGATTTTACAAATCCTGATTAGTATTTCAGACAAAACTAAATCTGAAATGCCCATATGCCAATTAGTTTTTTAAATCACATATCAAAAGTTTGGGGGAAAAGACTGTGACACAAAGAATTTGATGTGAACAAAAGAATTGTAAATGAGGTTTGCTTTTAGATAAACCAGCAAAAGAATAAACTATTCATTTGTTTAAATGAGAGACCTGACATGAGTTTGATTGTGTGAGAGCTATATTCCTCCTCATTTTTTTAAGGTTAAAAAAAGAATCATTCATTTGATTACATACTGAACAATTTTGCAAAGCAAAGCATACCTGGAAGTGCTGAAAATTTGCCATCTTGCATACTGTATAAAATTCATGCAAGACCCCTTGGTCTTATGATTGATAAATCAATTTTTTACTCTAAAAAAATTTGTAAGAACAAGTTTCTGTGTTTTATCTAGTGCCACTTCTAGTCATCATTATTTCTTTAAACACCATCTATTGTAGGACAATATCACTCACTTTAATTTTTGAGTTCTTTTTCTACTTCTACATAAAACCAAAGTGATGTGGCACTGTTATTAAGAATTTCCAGGGAAATTTATTTCAGAGCACAGAATTGCTCTTGTTTTCTCTCAGCAAATGCTTCCAAGCATTTAGACTTGGATTGCTTAAACTTAGCATCAGACCAAGAATGATGATGAATCCAAGATTTAAAATGCAGAAGCAATCTAATTAAATGTATGCACTGAAATTTCCTTGGATTTGTTTTCTCTTCTGCTACATCAACCATATTTCAGACTGTCTCTCTTTGCCTTCTCTTTTCTCATGCCAATATGTTGCAACATGTTCTAGATGAAAGTTTACAGCCAGGGTAAGATTTAGTAAGAACTCCATCAATGGTTCAGAAACGAAAGCAGCAGTGAGCTGAGCGACTAGGTGCGCCCCCTCAGCTGTCTCATCCTTCTCTGCCAGATTTCCCTCAGGTGGGCTATCATCTCTGCAGAGCAGGGGGTGCCTGTAACTGGTGTCCAGTGAAAGGGGACTTACCACATGGCGGAGCAGTCAAAATTCACCAAAAGCCACTTGTGGGGATTAAAATTAAATGAATCTGCAAACTGTCAAAGAATAAGAACAATAAAAAGTAAACTAGTTATAGATGTTTCAGTATAAAACAAGACCTTTAAAAGTTTATATTTTTTAAAAGTTTACATTTTTCAAAGGATAAAAAAGTACAGTTAAAATATACTACAGGGAACCAAAATAAATAGAGTTTATATTCCAAATGAAAGCACTTTCAGATTTTACATAGTCTAAAGTCACATCAAAATTTTCCATATTTTGGGCTGGAATTGTAGCTCAGTGGTAGAACACTTGTCCTGTACATGGGACATGTACAGGGTTCAATCTTCAGCACCATATAAAGATAAATAAATAGAATAAAGGCATTGTATACATCTACAACTAAAAATACATTTTTAAAAAATGTATCTTTATTGTATTTCAAGGTACTAGGATATTTGGAATATTTAATTCATAAGTACTATGTCTAAAAATTGTACTTACTGTGTTCATGAAATACTTTTATGTCCACAGTGCTTTCAACTCCATGATGTAGCAAGCAGAGTTCTTAGATTATATATATCATCATGAACCAGGAGAAAGTGAAAATTTCATATCTAATTTACAGTAATTAGAAACTCATTTTTTTTTCATGCAACTGATTAGTTCCTTTGCCAACATGCCATAAGATTACAACTCTTCCCCTTTACCTTAGTATTTTTCTCTATTCTTAAAAACAATATCCAAGTTTATTGTATTCCTAAAAGTTATAGATTCCATGGCTGGAAAATCATGTGTAGCAGCTGCAAACAACCAAGCAGCAGCTTCATC